TCGACCGATCTATTCTTCTCTACTCCACTCTAATATGACCGACACCTCCCTACCCTACCCTACCCTACCCTACCCTACCCTACACTACCCTACCCTACTCCATTCTCTTCCCTACTCAAATCTACACTACCGTATCCCACCCAACTCTTCTCGACTCTACGTGAATTACCCTCTACCCAACTCCTATTATACTCTACTCTACGCCTACTGTACTCTGCTCGTCGTCGTCGTCGTCGTCGCCGTCGTCGTCGTCGTCGTTGCCGCCGCCGCCGCCGTCGTCGTCTTCGTCGGAGGCGGCGGCGTCATCGCCGTCGCCGCCGCCGCCGCCGCTGCCGCCATCGTCGTCGTCGTCGTCGTCGTCGTCGTCGTCGTCGTCGTCGTTGTCGTCGTCGTCGTCGTCGTCGTCGTCGTCGTCGTCGTCGTCGTCGTCGTCGTCAGTCCGGATCCCCCCTCTGCCCGCCTCGGACCGGAACCTCCCCGACAGCCGACGACCGCGCGCGAGTCAGCTCTCGCCCCGCACCGCCGGGACGCCTCGGCTGCCGAGGGGGGGGCTGCTGGTGAGGCCATCCCCTGGAGGCAGGAGCCGAGGCGATCCAGGCGCTGGTCAGGACCACCCCCCGCCGCCGCCAAAGCCCCCGCCGCCGCCGCCGCCAAAGGGGTTCGCCTTCGGCCTGGCGCCGCCAAAGCCGCCGCCCGCCGGGGGAGCCCCGAAGCCACCCCTGCCAGCGCCGCCAAAGCCGCCGCCCGCAGGCGCCCCGAAGCCGCCGCCGCCGGGGGGCGCCCCGAAGCCGCCGCCGCCGGGGGGCGCCCCGAAGCCGCCGCCGCCGCTGGGGGGCGCCCCGAAGCCGCTGCCCCCGCCGGCGGGTGCCCCGAAACCTCCACCCCCACCCTTGCCGCCAAACGGCCCCCCACGCCCAGACGCAGGCGGGCCGCCGCCGAACGGCGCGGCCTTGCCGCCGAAGGGGTTCGGGCTCGCGCTCGCAGGGTAAGACGGGCCCGCGGAGGACGACCTCGCGGCCGCGCCCCTGCCGAAGCCGCCGCCGCTGGGGGGCGCTGCGCCGAAGCCGCCTCTGCCCGCCGCTGCGGGCGGGGCGCCGAAGCCGCCGCCGCCGCCGCCGAAGGGGGCCGCGCCCTTGCCGCCCCTGCCGCCGCCTGGGGGCCCGAAGCCACCCGTCGGGGCGCCGAAGCCGCCGCTGGCGGGGGCGCCGAAGCCGCCGCCACCGCCCCCCTTGGCGGAGCCTTTCGGGCCGGCGGGCGCATCGTCCGAGTCGGAGGACGAGGAGCTGCCCGAGCCGGAGGACGAGGAGTCGTCGTCGTCGTCGCCCGGCGGCGGCCCCTGCTCGAAGAATCTCTGGATGGCGAGGTCGGGGGACCACTTGCTCTGCTGCAGCAGGGCCTTCGCCGCTTTCTCGCTGGCCTTCGTGACGGTCTGCACCTGCTGCACCAGGCTCCTCTGCTCGCTCTCGCTTGGCGCAGCCGCCCCGACACCCGCCGACTCGGGGATGTACATGCCGACGGCCTCGTTGGCATCCCAGTTGGCCCGCTGCAGGTACTGCTCCGCGGTTGCCCTGGAGGTGCATCCGGTAAACCTCATGAAGGAATCGATTTGGTCCGCACGGCTGCCCACGTTCAGGTCGGGCGCATCGTCCTCGTCGCCGCCGTCCTCCTTGCTCCGGCGAAACCGGCCCGCGGCCAACCGCGCTCCCTTCGACTCCTTCTTTTTCGCCTCCGCCTGGTTCTCCACGTTCGTGATCTTGCCGGCGAGTCTCGCGGCCGTTTCCCTCTCCCGCTTCAGCCTGGCCTCATCGTTACAGAGATCCGCTATGGTCTCTGCCTTGAGCCGGATGCCGCCGCCCTGGTCCTTGCCTCCCTCCATGACGCGGTGCTCCCGCCACTTGTTCACCTGCCACAGCTCACGCTTGATGGTCTCTGTGCACCTCTCGCTGCCGAACTTCATGCAGGCCTCCAGGAGGGTGAGCGACTTCTGGATACGCCGCCACTTCTTGTCGTTCTTCTCCTTCAGGGCATCCCAAACGAAGCTGAGCACCCTATCACAATTCTCGTCATCCGTGGTGGACTGCGCGATCTTCTGCAACAGGCTGTTCGGAACGCCGTAGTTCTCGTCCCCAGTGGCCTCCCTCAAGTCCTTGTCCAGCTGGCGCCGTCCATACTCTGAGGCTCCACTGCCCTTCGATCTGGAAAACATGTTCACGCAGATGTGAGCGCAACCCTCCCTGACAGCTCGAGCCAACAAGAACAGCCACGGACTCGAGAAGCCCGAGGATGCCAATAAAAAAATGGGTGAAGTGGGTGGCAGCGATGACAGCATCGGTGACCTGATCGAACGCTACCTCTACGCAGAGGGGGGCTGCCCCCTCCTTCACGCCCTCCTGCACAGAGGAACAACAAGCGGCATGAACATAAACTTGTGGAGGTCTGCGCGAATCTCTTTGATCTGGGCGCCAGGGGCGTCGAGGAATCCGCGCGGACCTCCGAGTGTTTATGCTTATGTTCCCGACCTCCCTTCACGTCCTCCTGAAGACATCGTGCTGGACCGAGGACCGCGTCGACCGCGAAGACGAGATGCACAACTTTCCCCCTCAGTCGTGGGCCCTGGCTTGTGCGCGCGCTCGTCCCTGCTGCACTCGTCCACGTGCGCTCGGGACGAAACCTCTCGCCATCGGCGGCGCGACCAAAGCTCCTGGCAGTGGCCAGGCAGGCGACCAGACATGACCAGACCGCAGCGATATGGCGACACCAATCTCCAACTTTGCGGGACTTTCGACTCGACAAGGAACATCGAGGCCAAACTCGAGGATATACGATGGGCCGGAGACCTGGATTCGGCGAGACATCGCCGACAGATCCGCGATGAGGCCCCGATAGCGAATCCGTACGCTCCTGGGCGGGGTCGGTCATCGGGCCCCGATCGGCGACGCATATGCGGCTTGGGGTCGATGCATCCCCCCCGAAGCCTAGTTCCCCTAGCGTTGCTCCCCAGCGGCCGCTCAAGACGACTTTCCGGCACCCCTGGAACGCCCTGGACGAGGCGCAGCTGATAGAGATCATCCCGGGTGCCGAAAGCTAACGAACAGCTCCTGGAAACTACATATCGAAATCCCCCCCCCTCCCCCTGTGCCTCCTCCCCCTCAACGTTGCCCCAGGCCCTCGTCCCGAGCGGCGGCCTGTTTCCTGCTGAGGGAAGCTCGGAGTCACCTTTTGGGGCCAGGGGCCGTCTGCGACACCTTGTTCTGGGGGAGCGTGACAGCTCCGAGCCAGGGCCTCCTGGACGAGGACGTTGCTAATTTGAGGTCTCCCAAACCCCGATAGCGAGTCGACAGAGGCGTCTGGACGGTCCTCCGCAGGGGCTCTAAGAGCTCTGAGAAGAAGCTTCTGGAAAGCTTCAGGGCACACGTATTGCAACACAAAGGCCTCCCAGAACACGTTACACTCTCACGGGAGGCGCGGCGAGGCGTCCTGCCGGAAGCTGGAACGAGCTCCGAAGCTACTCTGAGGTGCCGGCTTCTAATCTGAAACCCTCTTAGCTCTCAGATAGCTGCAGTCAAACTTAGGACATAATGACATCCCTCAAGAACACGAGACCCTCCGCTGGCCCAAACACACAGATGATCCAAGGATACCCTCCCCAGGGTGCACAAAAACATCCAACAAGCAGGAAGACCATTAGGGTACCCTCACGACCCGACTTCGATCTTCTACCTCGGTCCGACTGCATCCGGGAATCAGGACATCGAAAGTTCCGCTTGTAGAGAACGAAGAACGGGGAATGCTTCGACCCACGGCGACAAGTTTCTCGGGCGCGCCATAATGTCCTGGCTTGCAACCGTCTGCGTCTACGGTCGGGAACTTTTGCCTGGCGTGTCGCGGCGGCGGCCCGCCGACAAGCTGTGCCATGTGAGTGGATAGCCTGTCGCCCCGCTCAGCGGGGCGGGAGGTCGGGAACAACTCGGGACGTTGACGCTTGGGGAACGGGACATGGACAACGTGTCGCGTCGCAGCGTGGTGGGCTAGAACCAACGGAACGCTACGCTAAGCCCAAACTGCCGACCGTATCCTCCCGGGACCTATCCTGGGGATCCTGGGGGATCGTTCTGTCCAGGATCTGGGTGCGAGTCCCGCCGTGGCTGCGAGGGTCCTCTCACATGGGAGGAAGAGCGGGGATGCGGAGAGAGAGGAAAAGGAGGCGGAGAAGGATGACGAGGAAGAGGAGGAGGAGGAGGAGGAGGAGGAGGAGGAGGAGGAGGAGGTGGAGGAGGCGGAGGAGGAGGCGGAGGAGGAGGAGGAGGAGGAACTCTCGTGGACCCGCACGGGTCTCCCAGCTCGGCGGCGGCGCGCGGGGTGCACGCGGCGGGGCCAAGGCTTCATCAAAAAACGTTTAAGCGGTCCCAAGTGATGCGGAGGAACCTGACGTGAGCCTCGTACGAGGCGGACTGGTTTGAGAGAGTTTCTGTGGAACTCACGTCATTCTGACCCCCGGCGCGCGAGGCGCCGACGACGTCTGGGAAATCGCGCGAATCCGGCGATTCTGGGGAATCCTGCGACGAATTCCAAACCGACACCCTCGCGTGGGACATCCTCAGAAAAATCACCCCTGAGCGAATCTGGCGACGAATTCCAAACCGGCGCCCTCGCATGGGACATCCTCAAAAAACCCGCCTCCAAAACCTCCCCAAGGAGGCCTTCAAAGGCCCCCCTGTTCCATATCAGGCGACGTCCGGGACATCCAGCGTATCCGGCGAATCTAGGGAATGGAGACGAACTCCAAACTGGCGCCCTCGCGTGGGAAATCCTCAGAAAAACCGCTCCCGGATCCTCCCCAAGGAGGCCCTCAGAGGCCCCTGATCCGTTTCAGGCGACGTCCGGGAAATCCGGCGGATCCCGATGCGACGACGAATTCTAAACTGGCGCCCTCGCGTGGGAAATCCTCATCGCCTCCGGAACCTCGCAGTTGCCGACGTGGCTCGCAATGCAGTGCAGGCATGGCGCTCGAACTCAAGCCAGCTTTTGAAATCATCGGCCCTGGCGGCGTGAATTTGCACATCGGCATTCGCGAGGTTAAAGGCGAGCAGATCTTCGGCTTCAAATCCAGCAATAGGCTGGCCGGCAATCTGCTTCTGCATGGGCTCAGGAGCAAGGCGCGCGACAGGCCGTCGAGTTGGACGACGCTGGTCAACGACGTGCGCAAGCCCAAGGGCGACGCCTGCCATTCGGAGTGCAAGGTGAGGAACAAGCATTGGACAAGGGAAGCGTTGGCGCGCTTGCTTGTTACCGAAGATACGCTCAAGGAGGTCACGTTGTTTGCGATCGGCGATGAACCTTCCGCGACATCCAGGTTGTCCTCGACGAGCCTGGGGCGCCCGATCTGCTGGTCGAGTCTAATTCGTCCACGCTCGCGTGCCTGCCGAGGATGATGCGGGCCCATTTCGAGGCCCTCGACGACGCGAAGAGGGAGGAGGGGCCCCCAACCGCGAGCCTGGGTCTCATGCTTATGTGGGCCCCCAACAAACGCGGTCGGGCTTGCGTCCGGGCTCGCAGGGTTGTCGACGACGGCGCTGAGGCCAGCAAGAACTTGAGGCTGGACAAGCGCGGCAACTCCGTCGAGAGCGCGGCGGTGAAGACTCAGTCTTGGCAGGTCGGCGGCTGCGAGGTCGAGGCTCATTCGCGCGCGGATGGCGCGGGGGCGGATGGCGAGGGGGAGGGGGAGGCGGATGTGGTAAGGGATCTGACTGATGTATGCCAGCGCTGTGAATTCCTAGAGCGCGCGACGCGGGATTGTCGCGCATCCTCAATCTTTTATAGCGCGCATGCGTCGATCGTTGAGCATTCGCTTCGGGGAGGGGGGGCTGCGTCGCATCGCCAGTCGCCGCGGGGTCGCGAGCACGCGCGTGCCGAAAGGTCCCGCCCCAAGGTGCAGCCAAAGCATTGAAGTGGTTTGCCGCCGAGGGATCGGGAGACCCAACCTCCGCCGAACGAAATGATGGCGACGTCCGTGGATGAGCCGAGCTCGAAGCCGCGGTGCAGTAGGTCGCCTCCCAGAGCTTCAACTTCATCCTGCATCCTTCGTCTGCTGCAACGTCGGTTCGATCGTAGCCTGGATCCCCTGAGTGCCCCTTGACATGCGCCGTGAACCAGCATCGCGTACGTCGCGCGCGTCGGTAGAAAGCTCGACCAGAACTGATTCGCGTTTTGTTTCACACGAGCGCCAGCCTCCAAACATCATATGCATCGCATACTTGGAGTCCTAATGTCATGCAAGCAAATCCCGGTCTGAAGCATTGCATTGCCCAAGACCCGCCGCGTCGCCATAATCATTGCCGATCCTTCGCCCGCGTCGTTGGTCGGCACCACAGCCCCAAGAAGGATGCGTTGCAAGGCAGGCATGTATAATGTAACCACGGGCCCATGATAGTCCGCCCATGGGATGCTTCAATAACTGACATTCCTCACCCAGCGTTGCCATCTGCACCTGGGCCGTCCGCGGGGATGTGATGATGCTTCGTCGTGCCGGCCAGGGTGTGTGGCGTAGTATGTGGTGAGCTTGTCCCAGCGCTGTGATGTTCCTGACGTGCAGGGCGCAAGGTGGGTGAGCTGCCAGTGGCCGTCGGGCCCCCGCTCGACGTGCATGCCGAAAGTGCTCTGCTTCGGGCGATGGGCCTCCCATCATGAATATCAAGGGGCGCAGCATTTTTTTACCTCCTCCCGTGCTTGGCGCTGTCGATGTTTACGATGTGCTTTGCGTGCTGCGCGGGCGTGGCGTGAGTTCGGTGAAGCTCATTCCAAGCACAGGCACTTGCTCATATGATCCGAAATACCTCAATGTCGTGTCTCAAGACCCTGGGTCGCCCGATGTAGGTTTGGGTTCAGCACGCACCTGCTGATGTCGTACCAATTGCCTGTACTTCTATGTCTCCACGTACCGCGGTTGAGGATTTTGATGAAGGTGTCGGTGTTGATGAGGTTGGAGGTGGAGGAGATCCAACGGACGAACGCTTTGCCGCCCTCAGTGGTCTTCTGCTTTATTGATTCGGAACCAGTCTGGATGTCGTTGCCGATGACGTCGAGTCCAACATGGCCGTTCCAGTCTCCCCCAATCAACACTGCGCCAGGGCGCAGCTGCTGACGGCGATGACGGAGATCATTCAGGCCTGAGTACATCTGGGAGCGAGGCACCGATGAGGAACTCGTTGGGGTCTATACCGATATGGTCCACAGCCAGTGATGGCCGCCCACCAGAAGAGGTATAGCCGTGTAGCGATCTTCCCACAATGCTGTGAGCGCACCGTCCGATGTGCACAAAGACGACGCTGGTCTCCATGCTATCTAAGAAGAGGTGTCCAATGAGATGCCGCACAACTCCATCATAACAATGGTGAAGTCCTCTACCTTCACGGCTGTGGAAAACTCATCTATCAAAAGAATAGAGTTATGCAATTCAGAGAGAACTGTAATATTTATGATGTGAGCTCGCTGCTGAGAAAT